ACCCCGTCATCCACTCTGTCTGCACTGAGGCCAAGCCGGTGCAGACACGTGGCTCCTATCTCCATCCTGGTCTTGGCTCCCTCCCAGGCAGGCAGGAGCATTGGCATAAACCTTTTTGCCGGGAGGCATTAGGTGGGCAGGGTGGAGGCACCCGAAGGCAGATGCTGGAAGGCAGCGGAGTGGGACCAACAGGGTGAAGGCATCTTGGTGGGCGGGGAGATCCAAGCATCCCCAGTGTCCATGCATTAGCCCAATGAGGAGGGAGTTTTTTTTTAGGGTGGGATGTCAGTCCTGCTGATGAGGTTCAGCCCCAGCCCCTGGGAGGGCAGCAAGGGAGGATGTTGCAGGTCTCCAGAAATGTGCAGCAGAAGGAAAGGGTGAGAGGGGCAGAGAGGGTCAGCCAGCCCCCTCTGGGCTTCACTCTTCTTGCAGACCTTGTACAGTCCTGCTCCAGGCCTGCTCGGTACGGGGACGATGCTCTGCGGGACGCTGTTGGTCCTATACCTGTGGAAGAGGTGTGGAAGACGGGCTGGAAGCTCCCAAAGTAAGAGCAGGAGCACAGGACATGGTGCACCTGGCCTGCTTGTGGAGCTGGTTGCGCTCCTGGCCAGCAGGGACGCACCCCAACATGGGGCTGGGGTTTACACCCTCCAGGCATCACCCTACTCCTTCGTTTTGCAGACAAGCCACTTATAAAGAAGACAGAGGACGACAGGATATCATCCGAGGCTTAGGCAGCCACGCTCCTCGTGCCAAAGGCAAGGCTCCCTCAGGACCTCAGACGACCCCGTTCTGTGGAGCCAGAAGAGCAGAGCAGCCGCTGTGATGATCAGCAGAGAAGATCTGCCCTCCGGCAGAGCCTCCGGAGACCCCTGCCCCATGTGCCCCATAGCCCCCAGGTCACCGCGCTGAGCCTCTGTGGGTCCCAGTTCCTCCATGCAGCCCTGCAAAGCCCCTCAGTCTCCAAGCAAGGTCTTGGAATAACCCCTATGTGGTCCTCCAGATAGGCTCCAGCATCCTAACCCCATCTGTGCAGACTCCTCTTCTTCCCAGCCCTACAACCTCTATAATCCCTATTCCCAGCCCTAGAGCCCCCTATAGCCCCCTGCAGAGTCATCTGCAGCAGTGCCTGGTGCCATTGCGCTCACCGCATTCCCAACGGGATCACACCTTTTCCCCTGATCTCCCACGGAAGTCAGGATAACGTCCTGATCCAGGAGCAAGTGAGCAAGGTGCTCTGCTGCACTGTCCACAATCGCTTTTGCAAAACAAGGGACACTTCACAGCCTGTCCAGAACGGGGCAAGAAGTCCCTCTCCCGTTGTATTTATTCGATTCACTTTTGAATACCAGTAAAAACTCTGAAACCTGAAGGAACGAGAACGCAGCGCTCTACAGGTTCAGGGATACGGAGTGATTGGCGAGGGGAAGTGGTGGAAGAATGTGCTCCTTGGCTTTAGACAGGCTGTAGATGATCGGGTCAGATACAGGAGACTCTTGACTGCTAATGTTGGGTGAGATACAGTCCTGGCCACCAACAAGGAAGAGTCACGTTCCTAATGGAACAATCCATGGAGTCAGGTCTGAGCCCCAAACCATCCACGACCTCAAACCATCCTCGAGTCAACACTGACTATGAGGGGGGTCCTGGGGTCAGCAGTGACTATGGGAGGGTTCTGGGGTCAGTAGTGACTGTAGGCTCCCTGATGAAGACAGGAGGGGCCATGGTCATAGGAATGTCCCAGTGCCATGGGGAGGGAATGAAGGGACCACAAACTTGACCAGGTTGTGATGAAGGTGCGAGCCGAGCTGATATCCACACAAGGGCACGGAAGGGAAGAGCTGATGCAAGAGGAAGCATGGCGAGGACATGCGTGATGAAAGAGTCACAGCATGTGTTTCAATATCCTTCAGGTCTAGCCTCCCACCTCTCCTCTCCCAGCCAGCAGCTGGCAACCTGTGACTAGTTTGTGTCTTGCTACTTGTCCTAAGCCCCCTGGTTGGGTGTCTCCTGTCAACGCATGGACACAAGGTCATAGAATCGTAGAATCATACAATGATTTGGGTTGGAAGCGACCTTAAAGATCATCTGGTCATCTTCTGCTCCTCCTTGGACATCCAGAACTCCTGGGACTTCAAGGTTTCTCATCTTCCTGCTAGCACCCAAAGTTTCTCATCTTCCTGCTAGCCGCCCCAGCAGACCAGGTACTCCAGCCTTGCCTGTTCCAAAGTTTGCATCGAAGGCCCGGGACTTCTTCTATCTCTGGGTGGAGTGTCCTCAGAATAGGGGAAAACAGGAGCTTGGACCCAGTTTTATGCAATGAAATATGTGCAACGTTTTGAGAAGGTCTTTGTAATAAAGGTGGGATGAGCTGGGGCTCTCCATGGCTCCAGCATGCAGGACCAGCACCTGCTCGATCCGAGCTCAGGCCGTGGGCTGCTCTGCAGAGATGCTCTGCAGGGACTGCAGTATCTCAGGAAAGGGTTTTTTCAGACTTGCCAGGGTGACACAGCACCCAAATTTAAAAGGAGCAGAAGGGACGTAGGACCATGACTCAATCCCGGAGCGGCTGTTTGTTCAAACTGACCTTTTTTGGTCCCAGCAGAAACGCCTTTGCTCGGAGCTGCGTCAGCCGCGTCAGGCTAGGGCAGTTCCCAGCATTCCCGCCGTGGTCGGTGTCGGGAGCCTCTTTGCTGCTCTCCTGTTTGTTTGCAAAGAGGAACAAAGTCCTTGGACTCGCTGAGCCCTGGTACAAACGAACGCCGCCACCTTGCTCATGCTCTGCTTTTTAGCAGATGAGTATCGACTCCTTTCCAGCCTGATTTCCACCAGCTCATCCTTTGTTTCGTACAAAAGGTTCTGTTTTCCTCTTGGTCTTCAGCCCTAGCTCCACATGCCTCTGGGGTCTGGGCTGCTCCTGTTTGATCGTCCTACAGGCAGCAATCTGCTCCCCACTCTACCCCCGTCCCAGGTTTTGCCAGGCTGAACCAGTTAAACTCAGCCTGAGACCTTCCTGGCCGTGCTGTCTTCTTCCCACTACATGCTCCAGTTTTGCTTCTTGTTTTGGCACACACAGAGCCAGAACCATCCACCCCTTCTCTGGCAGGAGTCAACTCCTTGCCCAATGCCAGCCCCATCTTCAATGCGCCACCAGCACAGCACCCGCCCCAGTCTGAACCCTCCCAAGCAGAGCAACGAGCGATGTTAACTTGATGACACTTTTGCAAAAGTAACTTTTTTCCCAGTGACACGCTGCTCCGGCTTTGCGTTCTTTCCTCGCACAACTTCAGTGTGCCACCAGGAAACTCTTCCATCTTCTCGGCATCTCGGGACGTGCTGGAGGCAGTGATTTGCAGGGGACATGCCTGGAGCATCATCTGCATAACAGCAACTGGGAAGCCAACTGCTAATCCAAAGGGGACCCTTGAGGTCCTACAAGTGCAGCCATAGTAGGATAAGGGAATGACAGTTCCCCATGTTTTCCAAATCCAACCGAGCCGTTCAAAGCACCGCAAGGTGTGGGCGAGACCCTTTCTCATCACAGATAGTGCTCAGCCTCTCCTGATGGCAGAAGGCTCCAGTGTAGGCGCTGGCTCCAGCCTCCACGTTAAAGCCATTCACAGTCTTTACTGACCTATTTTCTTGCAGTGGATGGTCCCTCACCCCCCAAAACCCAACCAGACACTTTCTTATGAAGCTAAAGTAGAAGGAGAAGAGAAGGCTCTGAGGAGACCTTAGAGCAGCCTTCCAGTACCTAAAGGGGCTACAGGAAAGCTGGAGAGGGGCTTTGGACACGGGCGTGGAGTGACAGGACCTGGGGCAATGGATTTAAACTGAAAGAGGGGAGATTTGGATTAGATCTAAGGCAGAAATTCTTCCCTCTGAGGGTGGTGAGGCACTGGCACAGGTTGCCCAGAGAAGTTGTGGCTGCCCCGTCCCTGGCAGTGTTCTAGGCCAGGTTGGATGAGGCTTTAGGCAACCTGGTGTAGTGGAGAGTGTCCCTGCCCATGGCAGGGGGGCTGGAACTGGATGGTCTTTGAGGTCCCTTCCAACCCCAACCATTCCACGATTCTGTATTTCCCCGGCTCTGTGCATAAAGGCTTGATCTCGCTTGTCGAAAATCGGGATCTTGTACCAGGGCAGCCACGGTGCTGACAGCGGCTGGCACGTACGAGATGGGACACGCGTGTCGAGAGTTTTGTTTGCTCTGTGTGTTCCCAGAACAGCTCGCTGTTTCGCAAGCCCATGACAAGAGTGGCCGCTGCATGGGGCAATGGGTCACCTCCTGGCAGAGCTTCACAGGATGTGAAACTCTCAGCGGGGAGCAGGGCAGAGGAAGAGGAGGGCACACTGCAGGAGTCCCAGTTTGCTCTCCCAGTTGGCCAGTGGGACACCAGGCTCAGCTGGCATCTCCCACAAGGACAGTCCTCTCCAGCTCGTGGCCAGGCTGCGAATATGGGGATGCCTGGTGGTCTCCATCTCTCGTCCAGCCGCCCCAGGGACAGACACCAGCTCACCCTTGGTGGGGTCAAGAGCATGGGGACCCTTCTCCTGCTGGCATGCCTTTGGGGTGAGTGGCATTTGCCTTCGCTGCTGACTGCAAGCCCATCGGCCACGTCAGCTTGTCCAGCCTGCTCAGCTGGCACTTCACGGAGCACACCAGAGGCTGGTCAGGGGTCCTGGGTTTCTCTTGGGGGTCCAGGGCAGGGGGGGAATGGCTTGTCATGGCTTTGGAGGGGGGGGAAAGGGTTTTCACAGGAAGTTGGGAGCTCAGCTGCCTCTGCTACACCCCGAGAACCATACATTGCTCGCGTGCTTCTGCAGACGTGGTTTTGCCCCACAATTAAAGGCCCACGAGCGTTGCAAGAGCGGAGGGAAGTGTGCCTGGCTTTGTGTCCTGAAGCTGTCTCACAGCTGGCCGTGGCCTCCTGTCCCGCTTTAATCTCAGCTTATCCCAGACCACAGACGGCGAACTCCCGGTGCTGCAGCACGGAGGGGGCTTGGCCAAGCTCAACACCACTGTGCTCTCAACAGGGCAGCTCCCCGTACGGTGGAGAGGTGAGCAAGGAGGGAGCCACGCTGCCAGGATAAGGCTGGGTGGCTTGTGGCTGTGCAGCACAAGGAACTGAATATTTTATAGCCCCCTTTTATATATAATATAAAATTTTAATTATGTAGCCCCTTTTTACAAGGGCGTGGAGTGACAGGACAAGGGGCAATGGATTTAAACTGAAAGAGGGGAGATTTTGATGGGATCTAAGGAAGAAATTCTTCCCTCTGAGGGTGCTGTGGCACTGGAACAGGTTGCCCAGAGAAGCTGTGGCTGGCCTCCCCCCGGGAGCGGTCC